TGCCAATTTCCATCTATTTTCTCCGATTGTGTCCCAGCTTTATGGCCTACGCTGCTGGATACTGCACCCCGTTCTGACAGTAGTCATTCGCGCCAATTCTTCAACGATCACGAAATTTCTCTCTCTCTCTCACAAATTTGTTCACAGCTTTTCCTTCGCTCCTCTTTCTCGAAATATTACGCAGTGTCTTATTGTTGCCACAGGTTCTGTAATTCGCTTCATGGCGAATTAATAATTTATAAATATGGACCGTGTGAATGAACCTTGTCTTGATCTTTCTGCAAAATCAAGTTTCCCCCCTTGATTGAAAATTAAACTGGTCGGTAAATGAATGAATCATTTCGACCACTTTGGCAGTGTTGAGGAAGTACATAGTCTAAGCGTGGGATATATCGATAAGTTGCCCAAGCTGGCAACTGTCAGTGAGAAATTTACAGTGGCAGCGAGATCATTTCGTCAACAATTAATCAGTAATCAGCTGGCCAGAGTCATTTCACGGATGGGAGCAATCAGGCACACGTAGCTAACCAATCGATAATTAGACGGTAAATAATCATTTAGTATCAGCCGGCCACTCTGGAAGCAATCAGGGCTACCAATTCGATATTCCAAGTCGGATCAGTCAACATCCTAAGCGCTTAGGCCCTCGCGATATTGCTCGCCTGCTCGAGCTTCGACGCAATCTCCTCGGCGCAAGGCTTAATTATCCCTTGATTCGTCATTTGTCGCGGATTTTTCACTCGAACGCCGATCTAACTCGCGAACGGATGACAGTTCTGAAAAGTTCAATTAGTTCAAGTCTCGTCGAAGAGTCCGTTTCAAATAAATTTAAAACGGCGCCAACTTTGTTAAACTCTAAAATAAGGAACTATGTAAAAATCAATATTTTAGCAAAATTACTATGGAGACGTTTGTAAATAATTGTCAAGGATACTTAACAAATTAACGAAGGTATAAATAAGAGTTGTAAAATAGATAATCCAGATAAAACATTGAATATATAAAGTTATTATCAATTAAAAGTGTATAAATAATTAATTAATTAATTTTATTGTTCAATTAAATA